CATGGAATAAATATGTATTTTATAGGGCAGCTAGAATCAATTTTGGATTAAGTGGGGGGGAAGCATCCCATTTGGGGTCCACAACCACAGCTGTGGGATTGTGTGTGCTCACTACCATTTTAATATATGGAAGGCGGGACTGAGTGACCTTTTAAAAATCCCATAATGAGCAGTTAGCTCCCTGTGCTGTTTTTCTCTGCTCTATTGGATGTTGGAAGCTGCCTTCTGTTGGAAATTGAGTTTTTGTTTAAAAAAGAAAACATCGAATCTGGGAGTAGGAATGGAAGGGCAAGGCTGGCTGCTGGGACTTAGGGGAGCCCTCTGTGGGGCGGTGTGGGAACACAGGTCCCACCTTTTGTCCCACCCTGTTCATGCTTCCTGTCACCACCCCCCGACCGTCTCTACCACCACTTCAGGGAGGTGCAGAGATGACATCTGTCCCTACTTTTCTCCTTAATGACTTTGTAGAACACGGAGTACTTTGGAACAATACTCACCCCGTGCACCCCGAGGATGCGGCTGGCTGCCTGGGTGTCCGTGGGTGTCCTCTCTCCTGAGTGTCTGCATCCTACTTCCCCTCTCTTAGAAGGACACCAGCTCTTGACTGGAGCTCAGCCCCCAGCTGTCCTTTAAGAATAAGTATCCAGAGGGCCGGGGATTTAGCTCAGTGGCACCACGTTTGCCTCACAAGCACAAGGTCCTGAGTTTGATCCCAGGTACCAAAAAAAAAAAAAGTACCCAGAGCTCTGTTCCAGCGTCACCCTCCCGCCTTGACCCCCTCACTCCCCATCTGCCTGTCCCTCTTTCTCTAGCTCTCTAGCTGGCATGGTCCTGAAACAGAAACCAGAACCTGCTAGTTGTCCTGAGTCCCACGGGCTTTCTTCCAGGGGTTGGTGACTTCTGGGTGGTGGTTTTCATCCGAAGAGTTTTTTTTAAGCTGGTTTGTGCATTTCTGCCATATATTAAAGGGAGAAGTTCACATGACTTTAAAAACAAAAGCAGGAGAAATCGGGGAAGTTCTGACTTGAGACAGGTTTCTCCATCCTGAGAAGGAAAGTCAAGCTGGCTGCCACAGAGGCCAGAAGAGGAACCGGTCATTTAAGAGACGCTCGGATATTGGGGCTCTCTTTAGGGATGGACTGAGGGGAGAGGTGTGAGCAGTGACCCTCCCGCACAACTTCCCACGTTTTTGTCTACTATGGCCTGCCTTATGGGGGGTCAGAGGGAAAATGGTCTAAAAATTATTTCATTGCTTTTCCAGCAATCACTTCAGTATGCCTTTCAGTACGGTGGTCTGATCGTTTATCAGCCCAGTAGTGAAAAAAATGACTAGAAGTAGTTACACACAGACAATAGGCATAAACTGGAAGGGTGCCAGGCAAGTTGAGATTTGTGATTCTTTCTTATCAGAGGATGAGACAGTCTCCTATGAGGAGGCCTGGGGAATCTCAGCCCTCTCGCTACCATTAAAATGGCTGGTTTAATTACATTTTATAGATATAGTGACTCAGCAATGGATTGTGTTTCTTTCTTTGCTTTGGCTTCTAGGAAGCTCAGCCATATCTATGGTCCACCTTTTTTTAATTGTGCTGGAATTACCAAGTATATTTCGGATACCATCACCAGTTTGTCTTGCTCGTTAACCTTCATTTCTTTCTCTTTTTTGTCCTAATATCTTATTCTTTTGTTTGGCCTTTGTTTTTGGTACCCGGGATCAAACTCGGGACCTTGCACTTGCGAAGCAGACGGCAGAACGAACCACCGAGCTAAATCCCCAGCCCAATGTCTCATTCTTTTTGAAAACCTTATTCTATATGCTTTTGAAGCTGTTTGGATGGGTCGTGTTTGAAGGAATGAGCAAGTGTGTGAGTAGAAGTGGGTAAGTGAACGGATGAAATTTTGAACATTGGGAATATGATTGAGCGGATCGGTGTTTGGGCGTATGTGATATTTGCATGCTTGTATATGGTTGATTGGATTCTGCTGTGCGTGTGTGTGTTTGGTAGCGGGGTGGGTATTTGGATCAATGGATGGGAGATTAGGAATTTGGATGGATGAAAGGTTGATCAGATGTGAGGATGAGTGAATGTTTAGATTAGTGGAAGAATAGACATCTGGCTGAATAGATCAATGCATGAATATTTGGATACATGGGTGGGGTTTTACTAAATCAGTAGGCACCTATCTGATTAGATAAACGGAAGGGCGGCCAACGAACTGGACGTCAGATGGATTCTTTTAGTAGAAATAGATAAAATGGAAGAATGTTTGGGTGGGTATTTGGAAGGATCAGTTAGAGTAAATAGACGAATGGGTAGTTGGCAAGTGGGAGCTGTGTGGATAAAGGGATGCCTGGTCAGCCAGCTAGTTACCTGGGTAGATGGACGAGCGCGCACCCATGTGCGTGAGTATATGGGGGAAGGGTGGGGGATAAGTGGGAGGACAGAATGAATGGGCGTCTGGATGGCTGGATGGCTCTCCCTTGGCACTCTGTTTAAATGTCCTAAGGGTAAAATAAAACGTGTGAAGCATTTTCCCAATGACTGGCATGTGTTGGACCTTCTAACATGTGAGAAAGGATGTGGGCTTTGTAGACGAAAGGCCTTTGTTCTGATCCTTGCCGTACCACCTACTGTGCAGCCTTGAGCAATTACCTAGTTTGCTCACCCATAGAAATGGGGTTAAAATACCTGTTTCGAGAGGGTTCCTGTGAGATTTAAAAGGGCCGGGGTATGTTTCAGGAGTAGATATTGACTCACTTCCTTCTGAGGTACAACGTGAGAGAAAATGCTTTTACCCAAGTGGGAAACAAAAGTCCTTTCCCCTTGTCTGACCATCCAATATAAGTCAAATTCCCACCAGCAGAGCAGTAACCGTTGCTAGTGGCATGAGCTATGTGGGTTAGACTGCTGGGTGAGATCAACCAGAGATGACACTCGTGACAATGACAATGGAAATGCGTGACCAGTTGGCAGCCTGTACCCATGTTGAGTATACAGGGAACTACCCTGGTAGCTGATTAGACTGGACAGTGTGGATGGAAAATCATATTTAATGCAATAGAGAACCCCAGAGAAGTGCAGCTTGGTGAATTAAAGTTGGGTTATATTGTCTTTGAGGTCTTACGTAGGTCCAGGGGGAAAGAGTGATTGGATTGGTATATCTGGGACCCTGTACAAAAGTCAGGGGTGCAAAGGGAGACTGGAGAGCCATCGGAACCCCTCAGTTTTTATAAATCTATGCATCCTTTCAATAAACATAGTCTTACATCCTCTTTTGTTGTTATTTACAATCACTAAAGGTACTAAATACCTGGGTTAAAGCAATTAAAAGAGGTACAGAATCAAGTCTGCTTTCCAGCTGATGTGCGTGGCCATTGAGGGCATTCGGGCAAAGGCTCCTGTCTGGTGGAACTTTGGAGACCTAGGATGCTTTGTCGGTCCCTCACTGTGACTGGCAAGGTGGACGCCAGGAGTTGGCCAAGTAGCCCTGACCCTGTACCTCTCACGTTCATTTCTGCTGCTTTCCCTGAAGTCATCTACAGCTGGTGTCTACAGCAGGCAAGTGTCAGGGAGGTGCGTAGTAACCTCCAGGGCACAGAGGGAGCTTACTGCCCACTGAGCCAGCTTCGGCTTTCCAGACTGGAATCCCTACTGTGGAAGTTAATTGGCCCCAGTAGCTCTGCCTTCTGGACCAGCAGGAAGCTCTGGTCTTCCTGGGGCTGCTCCTCAGGCAATTGAGGAAGCAGTCAGGCTCACCTCCAGGGTCCTCTCCTCTTGCTGTCAGCTGGTACCATCCCTGTTCTCCAAACTAGAGCTCCACTGTAGAATCCCTCTCATATTGGGTAAGGGAAGGACTGTTTCTTCCTGCTGGATTGCCTCAGGAGGGTCATTTCCTGTTCCGTGTCTGCTTAGTGCACAACTTCTACTTCCGGTTCGGCTGCTCGTCACTTCCCTCTCCCTCCCGCCAGAGGTCGTTCTGAAGCCTGTGGAAATCATGCTAAAATGTAGGTTGAGATGGGTCAGGCCAGGGAGTATTTGGGAGTGTGGAAGTCAAACCCCCATCCCTAGAAGAGGGATGACTGCTTCTCCCTGTCCCTGGAAGCCCTCCCTGAAAGGCCTGTCCTGGGTTGAGAATCCAAAGCCAGGCTGCGCTGTCGGAATCTCTCTCTACCACTTCCTAGGTAAGGGAGCTTTGGCAAAGTTGTAGCCACCCTATGCCTGTGTTTCCTCCGTGTCTTTGTAAAGTTGGATAAATGATAATAGTGTCTTCATCCTGATTTTATGTGGCGATTGAGTGGCCAGTGACACGTAGTCTTGGTGACCAGGGCTTGGGCTAATAAGGCAGCTCAGTGAATGTTAACTGGATGTGTTTCTGTTCTTATCTGAGGTGCACCTCTTCTATTCTGTGGAACTCCAGAACTAATAGCCCTGTGACCTCTGATGGAAAATGTTGAAAAAGACTTATAACAGCAAAAAGGGGTGACCTTTACAAAGGCTATTGGCCATTGTTTATGAAACAGAAGCTTTTGTTTTAACAAGGAAGCTGGAGCAGTTGAAATTCAGATGTCAGAGGCTGCATGTGGAAGTAAACTATTTGAGGGAGTTAGGGGACTTTTCTTTCGTTCCAGAGATTTTAAGTGATGCGTACAGTTAATTTTACTCAATTTCCCCTGCTTCAGGACAGCCAGTTTTCAGGGATTATAGACAGGATCCCTACATAATGTTGGTGCTGGGAGGCTTTCGAGAAAGGCAGAGCCAGAATCCTGCCTATTTCACCCGGGTAGGAACTGGAAGTCACCCCACACATGCCCGACACAGGCCCTGCTCTGCCACCTGGCTGCCAGCCAGGATCTTCCTTTTTGTAACCCTACCGTAGGGAGACATTCCCTGGATGCTGTTGAGGTATCCCCCAGTCGCCCACAGCCTGATAGCTTTGGCAGTGGCAGGAGAGGGAACCCAGACTCCTCCATGACACCTTTTGTGTGCCTCATTCTACAGACATTGATGAGTGTGAGAACGACTACTACAACGGGGGCTGTGTGCACGAGTGCATCAACATCCCAGGGAACTACAGGTGCACCTGCTTCGACGGCTTCATGCTGGCTCACGATGGACACAACTGCCTTGGTGAGTGACGCCTTGGTGCCCCTGGGCACAGCTGTAGCTCTCGGTGCTGGGGGCTGTGAGGAGCCTTGTCCTCCTCTGCCTCCCTGTATGGTTTTGCTCAAGCTGCCATAGCAAAATACTGCAGAGTGGATGGTTTAGGCAAGGGGTTTCTTTTTCTCTCTGTTCTGGAGACTGGAAATCCAAGATCGTAATACCAGCACATTCGGTTCTTTCTGCTGCCTCTCTCTCTCTCTTTTTTTTTTTTTTTTTTTTTTTTTTTTTTTC